ACAATATGTAACAAGTCATATAACGAAAAGTTACATATATGTTATATAACTGTAATATATTGTCAAAGTAACAAGTTTATATTGCAGATGTCACACCCATGTAACGTTGTAGCTATATAACGTAGTTATCTCATGGCAATATAATTAGCGTTACATGCATGTTGTATCTATGTTATATAACACTGTTATACTAGTAGTATATATTTTTCGTTATTTAATGTTATATTTCTATGATATAACACTGTAATCTCTATGTTACATTACATTTGTTATGCAACTGTTATTCAAATGTTACATAACATATTTTTACTAATTTTAGGTAACATTCGTTGCATACGCGCAATGTTCTTGTAATGTAACATCGCCACATCGATGTTACATACGTTCTTTGTATTGACGACATATTCTACAGATGTAACATTACAAAATTCTGGTTATAGTTGCTTTTCTTTTCAATGTGTAAATAAACTGAGATTGATAGCAGATCAGGGTAATTGTTTCTAAGCTATAAGGATATTTTACAGTTCAAGAACTATTTGTGTACTTAAATTGTCAGAGAATTTCTCGTTCACTTTATCATTGGCTATGTGTATTTAATACTCAGAAAATAAGGATTTTTTTATCAATTTGTTTAACCTAAGACATTTACAAAATGTCTTATAATTTCAAAAATGAATAAATCTCAATTAAAAATAAAAAGAAGACATTATATATAATAATTATTACAAAATAACTAAAATGAACTATAATTTACACAATTATTCTCATTTTTCTATATATTTCTATACCCAGCCCAGTGGGTAAAAACGTAGGTTTAAGTTGCGTGCCAGCGGGCGGTCGTAGGTTCGAATCCCCCCAAATAGGAAATAGTATATTTCACACCTAGGGAGGAAAAGTAGACTAGCTCAAACCACGTGTAAAATTACAACCCGAGCCGAAGGCGAGGGGGGTAAACACGTGGTTTAAGCTTGTCTAATTGTCCTCCTTAGGGCTGAATATAATTTTTCGTCATACCTGAGTGGAAAGTTCAACCCCTCTCCAATGGAAAAGTGAACTTTCCGCGCAGGCATGACGAAAAATTCATTTCACTAAAGAAATCAAATTACACTTAAAAAATAATATAATAGTAAACAAAAGCAATGAAATCCAATAAAAATACATTGCTGACAATTTTTTTTTTTAATCTAAACAATATCAATGTTGATAATAATGTTATGTAATCATAATATTACTGTAGTATAACAAAGTTATAAAACAATGTTATATAATTGAGGCGGAAATAGTAACATCTATGTTACTTCCATGGTAACATAACTGTAATAAAATATGTAACAAAAACTATGTCAAGGATATATAACCACAATATAACAGTGTTTACTGGGTAGTGTTAATCAGATTTATATAATTCTATTAGACTTCATGCGGGTGTTAGAAATTTTTCAACTTTTCCTATTCAAATGTGATGTTTCCTATTTAAATTCTGAAAAAGCCTGTAAGATTTATCTTTTTTCAAGAAGAATGAACCTCATTATGTCGATTTTGAACAAATTCCACAAGCGCAGCAATATATTTTAATTTCAAAAGTTTAAAAGAAACATGTTGGTTACACATGGTTAAATAAAAAGAATTCTATTTATTAAACATATTTTTTTAATACTGTATGACAGTATACAAAAAAAAGTCACTTAAATAGTGTTTTGTTATACATGTATCAATTAATACATATTAACAGATAGACTTCTAGTTTAGAAAAAACTGTTCATGTGCAGACAACACGACTAGTGTCGCGTTGTCATAGAAGAAGCTCAGTTACCTTACATGGACGTCCTCGAAGTCTTCCTTGACGTTAGTAGGGTCTTTAGCAATGTGGATTGTTAATAAAATAAGTACCGAGTTATGGTGAAGGTGTGTCAAGATAACTTGAGCAGTAACCTGTTATATCCCATCAACAGGCACGTTTCCCATCATGCCATCGACTGCTTAGTCGCTAAAAAAAACGCAGCCACGATATTCACTGATGGAATTAAAGTCGCATGCAACCGGTCAACGCCCTACCCTTAACTTTTAATGTTCGATATTTGTTTCCTCTCACGCGTCGGTTTTTACTGCGAAAACTAACCGAACAGCACTGTGGTCTTAACTTCATAGTCTTTTCTGATTCTCTCGGCGCTCTTCAGAGCCTCTAAAATACTACTTTCGCCGTCAGAACTCACTCTTATATTTTAGACGTCAAAAGGTTTTTCTCACAGCTCCATAGCAGAAACCCTGATAGGTAAGTGGAATTCTACTGGATTCCTTCTCACACAGGAATCAAAGACAGTTGACCTACTCGCTAGAGAGACCACCACTCAACCCCATTTCTCATGTCCCATTGGCTACACCAACTAATTAAAACTCTTCAAAAAGAAAATTAAGAACAATAATAGACCCAAAAAGGCCGCGAATACTTCGCAAACAACTTCAGTGAACACTCTAAACTCTGGTTCACCGTCTTGGAACTTGATCGTCGGTCAGTTGTTACAGTCAATCGTTGTAGATCAAATCATTACGCGCTGGTAGAATCGGCAGCGAGAATTACGTTATGTAGTGACACGACTTATAAATGCAATCTCACTGAGGAGAACATCAATCAGAGCAACAATCTGTTCTCTTATCGCCAATTTTTCAGTACCTGTAAACTGAAAATTTAACCATAGGCAACAAATAGTAATGTAATAGTATTATAAATATATATTAGTGTCACAGATGATATTGTAATAATGTTATATTTTTAACTTCTCAGTGGGAAGTTATAGTAATAGGTCCGATTTTGCGAATCCCGAATTTTGACATGTATCCACTTTTTAAGGTCCCCAGAGTCGAATACGACCGTTTTCCAGAGGACGTCTGTGTGTGTGTATGTGCGTTCGGAATTATTTTTCGCCTCAATTATCTCGAGAGCAAAAAATGATATCAACGTGGAACCAACTGCATTCGACACATAATTGCGCAACTTAGAACTGATTAGGTTTTCAACAAAATCGGTCTTGTAGTTTCTTATGCAGAATCAAAAAACTGGCAAAAATGGAAAACGACCTGAATTTTGCAATTTATAAATTATATATTAAATATTAAATAATTAGAATACTTGTATGAAAAAATAATGACAATATTTCATCGAAAAAAAAAAAATTTAAAAAACAATATCAGCAATGAAAGAATTTTAAACTCGTGTCAGGATTGAGAAAACAGCATTAAAGACGCTATAATAGTTCATAATAATTGTTGATAATATAGAATTGTGTCCATAACAATTGAACATTATTACTAACAAGTGATTATTGATCATAGTAATATTTAAATAATAAGTTTTAAATTGTTATAAACAATAAAAATAGGGACCCTTTCGATATATAAGAGTACTTTTAACGCATAATTTTTTCGTTTACTAAAGAAATGTTACCAACCGTATGACATAAATGAAAACATACTTTTTTCGTGTATAACAATGAAATTCGTTGTAAATAATGAAAAAAAAGATCTATGAGGTACATTCGAATTCTTCTAACGCACAATTTTTTCTTTTACTGAAATAAAGTAACTAACCATATCAAATGAATAAAAACAGACTTATTTCGTTTATAACAATTCCATTTGTTATAAAAAATGGAAACGAATTCTATTCGAGGTGTTTTTTCATATTTTCCACAGTGAAGTTGGTCGTGTGGACCTTTCGAGTCGCACTCAGACCACTGCAGAGCACTGATATTTGTATATTTGTTCTTATCTGTATTTACAATTATTTATGTGTACGCTGAAATGAGCTCCTTCTGGAGCTTTACAAACTTTAATAAAAAAAAATATAAGAAAAAACAAAAAAAAACTTTAAGACATCTAACATTTAAAACATCCATCAGATATTTTTTAGGAATCTGTTAAAAAATATTCAAAATTAGACATCTCAGAAAGGATAGCTAACAGAGGTCTTTGAGAAATTGGTACTGTGTAAAATATTGGCAAAACTATTTATAAATTAAACGTGATGATTGTTATCGATTTAATTAGTTCAGAGTCTGAACTAACTAAATCTTCATACCCATAAATTTCTAACTAACTCCAAATCCGTAGCCTTAGACTCGAATACCGTTGATTTATTATAATATTTTTATATGTACAGTGAAATGTCTGAGACAAAATATAATTTTTGAATCATTTTTTACCATTAAGTTAAAACTGATTCCAAAACACATTTTTGGATATAACAAATAATTTTGAAATAATAATTTGCGTTTCTATAATAAAATTCTTACCTCATATAGCTCATGAATTAATTTTTTGTTAATGTGGCTAAACATTGAAAATAAAAATTATTGACGAATATTATAAAACAAAAATTCTACCATTAAGCTTATGTATTTTTTACACCCAATAACAGGATTTTTTTTCAATCAGTAAATGACTAACTCAAACATTGTGAATTGGCGCTTTTATAACACAAAATATACACTATTGTATTCTTAACATTATTTCATAACGTTAAATTGACTTTTCATCAAATTATTTTTGCTCGTGCACAGTGTTCAATTAAAGTATTATTTTAAGTTGATCAATTAAATAAATTTTAATATCTGTAATTAATAACAATTTCAATTTGTTTTGAAATTATAGATTGAACAAAAATTCCATCATTGTTTACCTGTACACATAAATAAGCTTTTTGGAAACATTAATATTAGAATTAGTTAGAAACATGATAACGATTAAATATATAGAAAATTGTACAATAATACTTGTTTAAATGTTTACAATTAGTAACTATTCTTTTTAATTGTATTGAAAATCATATGGGTCCTCTTCCAATGAAAAATGACAAATGTTAAAATATACATTAAGAAGTCATCGATAATATTTTTGTGGATCATTTTTTTTCTATCGAAAAAATCGTTTAACGCGAAAATAATTTAATAAATTTATTTATCATGTTGTTATTTTTTTCGCAATATTGATGACTAAAATCATTTATAAATTAGCTTAAGAAATTGAGATTTTATACATTTCCTAAACGTTCACAAATTTCATTTTAACCTTGAGTGTATTTTATTACATCAATCTGATATGTATAATGAGAAAAATCTTAAAAACAATGAGAAACATTTTTAATTGAAGTGTGGATCAATAAAAAAAAATTAAGATTCAAAAAAAAATATATTATTCAATATTTGTTCATTATGACATAAAAAAAAAATTCGAACTCCTTGTAAATACTGTTAATTTTGATTAGATCGTTACTAGAGTACATTACATATTGTGGGCAAAAATGAGATTCTTGCAGACAGAGAATATGAGAATAGCAAATATTCTTTCTAAAAAAGTTCCGCTTTTTATCAAAATACGTATGTAATTTTTTGTTAAATCATCGAAAAGTTAAAATTTCTTTAATGTTTTGACATTAGGTTGTAACATTCTCCATTTTATGAAGATATTTAGTACGCGACGACGCTTGTACGCAAACGATTTTTGTCCTCCCTAGGAACCAGAAAAGCATCTGTATTGAACCTCAAATTATGGAAGAAGTATAGGCTTTTCACGAGAGTATGATAAATCGTATATTATGCACTACGGAAAGAAATCATATAATTTTATCCATAAAGACAATTTCGTCCTAAGTCGAAGGCGCAGAAATATTTTGCACATAAAGATATTTCACAATTATTCTTATGATTCGAATACTATTTTCTGTCATAACGTACCTAGTATCTTATCCATTTTGAGATTGGAAAAATAACATTTTCTGTCGAACAAAGAAAAACAACACGATTCTGATCGCAAATCGACGAATTCCTATTTTCCTATATAGGGACAAATGTGTCTCTTTAAAACTTCAAAACACAGACAAAACTTTAACTTTCGAAGGAATTATTACAATGAAATATCTTATTCTATTCCATTTTAAAAATAGAATATGGCAGATGATTAAAAATATGCATTTAGGGATTAATCTAACTAACAGCTTACTTATCTATTCATAGTAAATATATTTTACATATCTGGAGAAAATAAAATTACACAATTTTGTGATTTATGAAGCTCTTAAAATGCAAATAATTAAGATTACTTCGTACGTATGGATGACCTTTGTTTCAAAATTTTAAACACACTTAAATGATACTCATAGAGCGTCGATAGCGTTTTCTAGTATTGGTCGATGCAACTATTCCAGAAAGTGGAACTGATGGAGTTACCGGAGTTACTGGAGTTAACAGAATTTCAGCCGATTGGGCCGAAGAGGGGGGCCTGAGCTACCAAATATAATTTTCAGTCTGTGGTGCTCTCATTACGCCTACGCCACCTCCCAATCGTCGATAATTCATACACCCGCAAAGGCGCCATTGATTTTGCTCAGGATCATAAACTTCAATGGTTTTTAAATACGCTGTTCCATCGAATCCCCCAACAGCATAAAGTTGACCATTAACTACTGCAAGACCAACCTTTAACAAGAAATAAGATTGTTTTTAATGTCTTTAAAGCATCTATAAAATAATCTTAAGTTAATAGTTATTTTCGGAGTTTTGTTATTTTCATCATCCAATTATTATTTACTAATTTCCCAATAGAAAGTTATTATAATGCATATATCTTCACGCTTCAAAGTCTCTAAAGTCAAATGCTATAATTTTAAAAAAGATATCCGCGTATACATATACACGACGCAACATAAATGCTATCCAATTTTTTGAAGGTTATACATCCGATTTCCCATACTTATACTACTTATACCAGAGAAAAGAAATAATATAGAAGAACCACCGCATAGGGATCCGTTGGACGAATTCTTGGGGATACATATGAAATTTTAGCATTTGCTTTGTATCCCCAGCCATATAACAGTAGGTAAAAATTACCGTCCAACAGCTCTCATTGGGATGGTTTTTCTATATATTATCTCTTTTCTCTTATACCAACTTCAGACAGCATTTATGTCGCGTATTATGTATAGGGGAAGAAGGGGTAAAGTGGAACACTAAGAAAAAATTTAAATTAATAAATTAAGCAGTATATTAACAAATGTTAATAATTATTAATGCATAAAAAAATTGAAAAATTAATGTACGAAAAGTACACTAAGCATTTTTAAACTTATTCTAATAAATTAGTACATTTTGCCCTCGCGTTCCACTTTACCCACCTTGCCTCGATGTATATGTATATATATACAAGGAAAAATTACTATGAATGTGTAGTACTAGCGGACTATCTCCAAAGTTTTAGTAAACTGGATAAAATACCATTTAAAACGCTCTTTGGTCATTATGAAATGCTGCTACGGACTATAGTAAATTTTTTTTCGGATTCGTTATACAAAAGAGAAAAAAAATTTCCAATTGACCTGAGCCTGGAAATACTATCAACCACAGAAAAAACTCCTACGGCCGAACATACTTTTCTTCATGCATTTTTATTGTTCTTAAAAATGTTCTGAACGCAGATTAAACATTCATTATTTATTCAAGTTCAAACTGGGCTGACATTGGATTTTTTACTGTAAGACTTTTTACTGTGGTCTGTAGTATTTTCAAGCCTAGATCAATGAAAAATTTTTCTCAATGGCGATTTTGCTATGGGTCACAGTGCAAAGGAATACAAGTTCAAACTGGCCCCACATTACCACATCTTATAGCAAAATTTCATTTAAATCTGTAGAAAAAAATAATGTCATATTCTTTTTGTGTAGGTATGTGTGTATATATGTTCATTATTAATTTTTGTCTCATGTATCTCGAGAACAAATGATGATATTGTCATAGGATTAATTTTATTTTATGCATAATTATGTTTGAGCCATTTTTTAGTAAAAAAAAGAAAAATTCAGGAGAGGAAAACTGACAGATTTTGACAATTGATGTATTCTTTTTCCAAGATAATTAAGTATTTTTATAATTTGTGGTAAGCCCGTTAACTTAAACTAACTCAAGAAACAACGAAAAATTGATTAAAATTATTACCCCGCTTCGTCTTGATGTCATGGCAACAATTGGACTCCAAGAATTGGTATGTGGATTGTATCTTTCGGCGCTGGATAACTCCATACAATCATCTCTTCCGCCAACAGCATATATTAGATTATTAAATACTGCACACCCTAAATGTTTCCGTCTAGTAGACATCGGTGAAACTTGCGACCATTTATTTTGACGAGGGTCATATCTTTCCACTGTATTCAATGGTGATTGTCCATCAGAACCTCCGATCGCATACAGGTAACCACCAAGTACTGCAACCGCAACTCCAAGCCTTCTCGTTGTCATTGGTGATACTTTTGACCATTTATTCTCTTTAGGATCATATCTTTCAACATGATTTAAGCATTGTACACCATCTTGACCACCAACAGCATATAAAAAGCCATCTAAAACTGCGACACCAACACTAGTTCTACAAGAAGTAGTAGGAGCTACATCACACGACCATTGATTTGTTTGAGGGTCATATCTTTCTATGCTATTTAAATAACTTTGACCATCGTGACCACCCACTGCATAAAGTAAGTCATTTAAAACTGCTACACCAACACCACATCTTCTTTTGCTCATGGGTGCAACCATTTTCCAATCGGCAGTGTTAGGATCAAAACGTTCAACTGATGCAATTGCATCACCAGAACACCAACCACCAACTGCAAATAAAACTTCTCCACGTCTAGTCGGTTTTCTTGGTCGTGTTCTTGGACCTTGCATTAGTGGTCGTTCTTGTGGGAGCAACAAATAATTTTTTGCTTCATCAACTAAGTCACGACACGCATCGTCTGATCGTACTAATAATTCAGATCCAACAGTGCCTACTAAAAATTTTGGACTAAGTAGAGGCAACCGTACATGTTGAAGTACTTGGGCTAAATGCTGTCGTCTTTCAGTAACATTATATTTAACCCAATTCATCACTGCGCTAAATACTTGTTCTTCTGTCCTTACATTTAACTCATCAGATGATATTATATCAACTAATTGTCCTACTGGCAAGAGAAGAAATTCTTCACTTTCCATGACTTCCTGGAAGTTATGTTGAGTAAACTTATCAGCAATTCGTAATAGTTCACGACATGAATGAGTATCAGCAAACGCACGAATCCCTAAGCAATTTGATGGATCCAGTTGACGTTTTAAAAATTCACAACAAATGTCTTGAATTTCGGCTAACTGAAGAAGACAAGCTGCTGGTAAGAGTGTTTGAACGTTAGCTTCTTCAATAATTATATGTGATGTATAGCAAAAATCAATAAGTAACTCCATAGCAATTTCATCAATATCTCGTATCGTTACTTCTGTTTGTCGAGATTCCGCCAATTCTCCAGTAAACATTGCTCTAAAAATATATGTATATATATATAAATGCTTTTCATTCATTAAAAAGTCAGAAACATTAAAAAATTTACATATTATTTAAAGATTAAGAAACAAATTAATTGTAATAAATTTACTTTATAAGATATAGAAGTATGTGAGATAATGCTACAAAAAGTGAATTTTTTGAAATATATTTCTCTTTTTATCTAAAATGTATCTATGATATGCCTATAATTAATTATTTTAAAAAATAAACTGATTTCTTAAAAATGTAGCAATTTAGATAACTTTTCAAAAGTAATTTTTTATAAAAATAACAAATGCTTACATCACAGCTATTCAAAGTTACTTAGAATCAACAAATTATTATTAATATTTATCAACTTTCCAGTGGGAAATTATAGTAATAATTCCGATTTTGCAAATGCCATATTGTGGCATATTTCTACATTTTAAGGTCCCCAGAGTCGAATACGATAGTTTTCCAGTGGATGTTTGCGTGTGTGTATGTATGTATGTATGTGCATATGTTTTTACATGCATTCGGAATTATTTTTCGTCTCGATTATCTCAAGAACAAAAAATGATATTGACGTGGAACTAATTGCGTTCAACGCATGATTATAAAACTTAAAACTGATGAGATTTTAAGCAAAATTAGTTAAGCCATTTTTTATGCAGCATCAAGAAATTGAAAAAAATGGTAAACAAGCTAAATTTTATCATTCTTTCCACTGGGAAGTTAGTCATGCGAACCTTTCGGATCACACCTAAACCACTGGAGAACACTGATATTTTTTATTTAATTATTTGAATTCACCTGAAGTAAGGACTACATGCTGATAATATTACGCGATGTGCAAAAATTTTCCTAGTTCCAACGTTAAGTACAACATCGCAAAGCTCTCGATGCCGCCTTAGAACGTTTAATTCAGTCAAGGTTGCTCGAGGATGCTTTTCAGAAGTATGACTTAGTCGTGCTGGTGATGGAGCACGTTCTACAATCATTTCACCCATTCTTTGACAAGACGTTTGGGCAGCTGCGTTCCCCGAGGCGCCCCGGCTGCCACCGGCTAGCTGAAGGCGCAGCGGGGGTGACGCCCAACCCCACACCGAGTCAATCTGCAACACCATTCACTAGGACCGAGCAGGTCGGTCTTATTGTTTTTACTTCCACTTCGTATATATTATCAATTAGATGGTTAATAATCTGAATCTTTGGATTATTAAAAATACTGCAAATAATATGATCAAAATTTTTAATAACTGAATCTTAAATGTTGATAAAAATTAAGTATAAAAATATTGTTGAATTGATAGTCATTTAAATGAACTAATTCTTACCTTCAATATTCTATCAATAAAGATCACAAGTACTTTCACTTGCATCAGAAGCTTTCATATTTTTAAAAATAGGCTATGTCTATCTTTTCATTAGTTAAGTTAGAGTGCCCACGTATTTGTAAAGTTTAAGATTTTTAATAGCATTAACAGAAAGATACAATATACTTTAAGTATCTATTATAATATTTATTCACTAAATTAAAATCAATTAAAGTTATCTACGTAAAATGATCATTTTGACAACTATGCAGTACATTGCGTTTGTCACAAGTCAACAAACTGCAATAAGTCAACGTTATGTATAGTACACTCGGTTCATTAATGCCTGGTGTATCTTTGGAGAGTAATTGCCGACCGCGGGTACGACTTTTTTTTACATTGAGTTTCCAATCTAGAATTTTTTAAACTTGGGCTAAACTCAAAAAATTATGAAACTCGCAATTATATTCCAAATATGCTACTTAAGTATTAGAAATAATTTTTTTTATTATGAGAACAATCGAAAGGTCTGCCGCAAATAATAATAATCAACAAAAATTTCTTAAATAAGTAATAAATTATAAATTTCTACTGCTGTGTTTGAACGGCCATCTTAATTTCGAGATATGCAAAATAAATAACTAATTACTCTTTTTTTTGGGAATTTCTTCGACTTTTTGTTAAGCACGATAGAACTTTGTACCCTCTTCATACAAAAAAAATTATATTATGTACTAAAACATAATATTTTCAATATTATTTTAAGGATGTCTGACACTTTTATAAATTTCATTTTTAATGCTTGAATTTGAAATATATAATAAAGTAAATAATACTTTATTAATTTCCATCAAAAAAACATACGGTTTCTGATAGATTTATGAAACAATTGAACTTAATGATCTCATTAAACTACGTGTTATTTGTAGCGGAAGTACCTTCGGCTTCATGAATGCCTTCCATGTACCGTAAGAGCAATTATTGACTGCGGTAGCAATTTTTGTCATATTGAGTTTCCGATCAAGAGTTTTTTAAGTTTCGGCTGAACTTGAAAAACTATAAAATTTAAGATTATATTGAGAATATGATGTTTTAAAATAGACATACAAAAGAAATAACAAATTACTCTTTTGTAACGAATTTTTGTGGATTATTCATGATAATTTAATCTAAAGGGAAAAAATTTTAAATCTACAAAGATACTAATTTTTTTATTAGTTCAGTGAATAGACTCAATTGTATTTAGAGTTCAGAAAAAAAATTAATACCAATGTACCCTTTACTATATTAAAGTTCAACAAGTTTGATAGTAACTGTGGAAAAAAAAGAAATGAAAAATGCTTAAAACATTACATTTTAAAAAAAATCAAGAAATATGTACAAGATTTTGAAAGATATCAAGAGATATAAGATGATTTTTGCATGTTATAATTTTTAAAATAAAAATATTTTCCTCATTCTAACATAAACATGGACTGAAATCAAGAATTTGCACGGAAGGCAAATGTTGGCTTTCGATTAAGCATACTATTAAATATCATCATTACTTTATTCGTAGTACACAAAATTGTAAAAATTTGGTTGCGCAAAAATTGAGTAAAATGAGAGTTTAATCATGGAGCAATCATACATTTTTTTTTCATTAAGTTGGTGATCAGAGTTTCTGATTACTATCAAGTTCTCTCACTAACAGATCATAAAATTGGTAACTAGTTATTCTTGCTTTAGCATGAATATACAACAAATAATTAAAGTATTTTCTAAATAGTTTTATTGTTTTTTAATAATCCTTTTCAGTTAATACAATTGTATGTACAAAAAATCGTGAAATCTTATCAATAATAGCCTCCTCCTTCTGAGCTGTACAAAAATGTGCGCCAAGCATAAATAATGGAACTTCAAAAAGTTCTAAAATTATTAAACGCCCAATATTTAAATCTCAAAATCAAAAATATTGAAAACGGATTATTTTCTTCGGTATTTTTTTTTTTTTTTAAATTCAGTACATTTTATGACACAATCAACATACTAACTAAAAACTGGACGTGACTGTTACTTATTAATTGGCTCAGATATTTTCAATGTAATCGAAATTTCATGCTTCTATGAATCTTAACAGAAAGAAGGGGCAGTTTTTGATGAAATAATATTTTCATTTGCAGTAATTACTCAGTAGGTAAATGTAGATCACAGATTCAATTTTCCTTCATATTGTGCTGCAATCTATCTCACGACCAGAAAGGATAGACGAATATAGAGGCTCAACGTAAAAAGGCGCTTATAAACAGACCTGTTACACGTGTTAGCCGAATTTTTATCTGGGCAAACGTATAAACTTAAAACCTGTTAGCCGAAACTTTGTTCAGATTTTTAACCCTGGGTTGAGCTTTTATGGTAGTCTCTCTGCTCACGGCCCTAAAGGTTTTCAAATAAAATGAAGTTTTCGATATAGCACAAGACAAACTTTTTAATAATTATTTAAACCATAATAATGAGATAAGATGATTATTAAACAATATTGTTATGAATATTAATTTATTGAGTATAATACCATTAATAATTTGTAATTTGTGTACAAATAATAATTGATAAAATATGTGTATACAAAATTATAACCATTCATTTTAAATCTTCAATAAACTCATTGATCATAATAGAATATAATCAATTATTATATTTATATAAAATAACATAGAACAAATTAAGGTTAAAATTTATTTTTGTACAGTCATAAAAAATAGCAATATCATCTTTTTATTTTTATTAGAAACGTGAAACCCTCTAACATAAGTAAAAGTTTTCACACAGCAGAGATTACACGTGTACTAAGCATACATGTAGTTCTTGACTGTTCATTGTTAGTCTATGGTGATTTATGTGAATACCCTCTCAGACATATTATATTATATACGTACACACATTGACTAATGTGAAATTAAAACTCTTTTACATCATGAAATGAAATTAAAAAATTTAATACCCTAATAATAAACTTAAAATACACTGAAACAACGTTTTTTCTCTTTTGGTGATACATTTCGTTAATAATATATTATTAAAATAACACTGTAAATATGAAAGCTGCAAGCTAATTTCGAGATAAATTGTCACACTTTCTTTTCTTAAAATCTTCATATAAAATTTTCAATTGCCCCATTGGAATCGTCATAATCACTGTTCAGACCGTTGGTGCCTAAATGCATTTTTTATGCATTGATCTTTAGCGCACGAGTGCGAAGAGGGAGATACATCAAAATTTCTGACAATTCAAAAAATCTGACCCATTATAATAACTTTCTAATTAGGAAATTAATAAATGAAAATTACAATACTTTAGAAAATAGCATTAGAAAAAATGAGAAGAGCTACGATATTGAGTGTAATCAACGTAAAATAATTGAATATTTCATTGAATACACATTTAATAATTTCTTTAACGAACCGGGTTATACAATGCGCCCATCATTGACCCATCATTAGCTACCATAAATAGTATTGGCCCAGCTATCAAAAATAACTAGACCATAAATGGATGATAGCACCATTTTAGCAAACTCTTCTTGGGTTGCAGTTGTACATTAATGATAGTAATTTATCTTGATATTGAGATCACTGAGTATTTAAAGAGTTTTAAAAAATCAAAACATAAAACCACAGGAAAAAAGACATCACAAAATTTACAGAACTTCTAGGATGACATTATTGTACATACGCATTATTAATTTTTTAGTTTTTTTTAGTTTCATTCATTCTGGTTTACTTTTAAATTCTTTGTTCGTTTGCAGCACGATTTAGATATTATTTATTTAGCAAATGTTGAATTAGATGTAGAAGTCAAATGTATTTTCATTATCCGTAAATGTACATTTGTTCTAGATAGACGTGTATTGATAATTACATTTCAGTATACTTACATAAACGTTATTATTTTTTCATTTGGTTGATACACTATATACGTGAGATTTAACTTTAAATCAAGTTGCCAAAATTGTCTGTTTCGAGTTACCTTATAAGGACAAATGACCATTGAAACTGGCTGGTGTACGCTCACGCCAAATATTCAGGTCAACGATAATAACGGAGCATCCAATTTTATTGACACCTGCCACCGAATCGCAATAAAATTTTCAATTTCTTTTATACCTGGAAAAAATCTATAGATCTAAATACTCTAGGTAAAATAATCTAATTATTTAAACAATTACAGTTTCATTTTGATTTCATTGGAGACCAGAAACGAACCAACTCTAAAGAATTGATTAATATCAAAATCCTCAAGTTCAACATTAAACTTAATAATAAATATACTTGAGCTTTTATTAACTTGAAAATTTTGTATGTATAACATTGTTATTTGGAAAATTTTTTATACTTTTCTACACGAATATGAATATATAGTGTGAATTGTTGAAATATTCATGGATTCATTTTTAATATATCAGCTATGAAGAAGGAAAATGTAAAGACATATACGTCGACAACGGAAGCAGTAAAGTCACTTGTGTTTTATTTCAATTAATTATTGTGAATAATATGATGACTCTTTTTTACTTGCATAAAAAATGAATAAAGTACTATCATTAGTATAATGTGAGTACCTTTATCCATTAAATACAAGTAATGATACAAATGTAATGTGAGACGTAAAATCTAATGACGAAAGTTTCTGCTACGTAAAATATGAAAAACGGAGCACCTTGCAGCAGCTGTTTGTCCATGATCATTATCAGATTTGGAAAAATCACCTTTATTATTGCTTCTTTTCTTCACTTTCGCCGCCCATCAAACGAGTGTTTTTCTTTTAACCTTTTTCACCTGCTATAGGTCAAAAAAATAGAAAATTTTCCTAACCGCTCCTTTGAAGGCGAAACAAAAAATGCCCATTTTATTTATACCACTCACAAGGTTGAGATAAAATAATACTTTTTTCAATTTGCGATGCATAAATGATTGAATAAATCAAATCAACTTCAGATGGGCATTACATATATAGATGGATAACACCAATGTGTTATAGATTTGGTCGACTCAATCACTCATTTTTTCTCCATTCAATTCCCGCATCGATAATTTTGATTAATATCGAGCAACTTTTATATTACATGTGAGTAATAAATATGATGTAGATAGAGAAACTAAGAGATAACTGAAAAAACTAAGTGCGTGCTCTGATGCAGGTGCATCAAAAAACATTGTATAAATGTATACTTGAACAATATATTTATTATACATATATGCAATACATTAAAAACTCTATAATATCATTTATCTTACTTTCTCTTAATA